GCGGCGCCTCCCTAGGCTGGCTGCACTGCAGCGAGCAGCCAACTTGCACCGCCGCCATTTTTCCTACGGGAGACCACGAGGAAATACTTCCGGGGCATTCCCCGACCCCGCCCTCTAATACTAGAAATACCTTATTTGGAACGGAATCGGAAGTAAAGGATTTTCCCCACTAGTAGTCCTCAGCCTATTATACTAGTAGTAAAGGAGCAGGGAAAGGTTTAGCCGACTACCTCTCTGAGCACTGACTGGAAAGTGGGGTGGAGAGTTCCTGGACCGGGCTGGCATTACTATGTTAATTACGTACTAGAGTTTCAGATTTGGGGTGGAGTTGGAGAGGAGCTGCTGTGGATGCCAGGGGCCAAAACTGCTGATTATCAAACATCTCTTCTTACCTTGTATTAGAGCCCCTGATTGTTCTATAGGTACAGAAGCACCCTGAACAAAGGCTGCATTACCCAGTATTCCTTGTACTTGACTCCGATTATTATCTGGTCAATGGAATACAGGCAACTTTCTAGGATTTTTGTGACAGCTGGCTGTGCTCTTTGTTCCCCTTTCTCCCCTTTTTGCAGTATGAATGCTGAGAATAACAGAGCACCTTTCCCTACTAGAAAAGTAATTTTTTTTGTTTGTTTGTTTGGTACAGGGGATCCAACTTGGGTCCTTGTGCTTGCAAGGCAGGCAGTGGAACCACTGAGCTAAATCCCCGGCCATAGAAAAGTAATTTTGAGGTTCAAACTGAACCATGTAAATTATAACTCTCATTAAGAGTGAGCTGGTTGGAATTTGACACCCAAGATTTTCTGAAACGTTGTTAAGAAGCTGGAAAATAAAATAGCCATTATAACACCTGATCAGTTACCCAAGAGATGAAGACTGGACATTAACATTAAGACAAACTGGGAAAACTATGTGTAGGACCTTTGAGTTCTTCAGATAAAAAGAAAATCCCCACTTATACTTCGTGGGGAAACCGTGAGGTTATCTCAATATGCTTTTTATCCTGAAAATAAAATACTGTTCAGCAGTGAAAATTGGATTATGTTTTAGGAAAGCTAGTTCTCTGAAAACTTTGGACTTCTTTGTGGAGAATTTTTGTTGTTTGGATTTAATTCCATTATGCTTGAATATATTATTGTTATTCTTGGGGTATGTGTTATATATGTGCAGTATGTGTGGGGGGTAGTAATGGTGATATTCAGGCATTTGCTCAAATAAAATCAAAAGGTGAAACCTAGTCACTGTATGCTTTAGTTGGAGTTCTCTGGAAGTAGAGCCTCAACTGAGTTAATATGTGAGTAATTTATTCAGAAAAGAACAGAGAAGGAAGGAGAATCAATAGTAATTTGTGCTCTTTAGTTGGTCATTGTGAGAGATGACTGTTCAGTCTTTGGGAGTTGGGGGAAATCTTATGAAATGCTCTCAGAACCCCTCCTGAAGAATAAAAAGGGGGTGTATATCTGCTGGCTTGTCAGAAAACTCATTCATTTGGCCCTACATTGTTAATGGTTGCTGCACCAGGGATTAATTCTCTAGTTCAGCATGCATCATTGTGCAGGAGTTCCTATAGGAGTCCCCTGATGCATAATCAAAGAAATTATAAGGCAAAAGTGAAGGTGTTTGGAATACAAGTGCACATGTCTAAAACAAGGCTCTGGCAAATGTCATTTGTGCTAAGCTAGTAGATACCTGAGATAAACTGGTTGCCATAACAATGGTTCAAAGAATCTAAGACTAAGTATTTGAAGCAGTGCTTAAGAGATGTTCAACACACTGGGCTAGAAGAATGTGAGGCCTGGTCATTACCACAATGGAAGAAGTGTGAAGAGACTGTGAGAAGAATTTGGGTTTAATGTGGTTCATGGTAGGTTGAAATATATTTGACCCACATGTAATGTTATTTGAGAAACCAAGTGACCTAGGTATTGTAAAGTACGTATACTGATGCCAATCTTTTGAGTTCTGAAAGGATTTATCCTTGTGGATGACAGTGTGCTTCCTTCAAGGAACTGAATATTCCTGTTTGGTGGTGATCATCAACTGATAGAAAAATATATCAATTGTCCAGCAGAAGGGGCCTTTGGAGTTCCCTTGCATTGGCTTAAATTAGACAGTAATACCTCCCATATCCACTTTCCGCCCTGAGACTGTGGAAGCTTAGAGCATGGCAGACTGTCTTCCAAGAGAATCTCCTCACACATCCTCAATTCTCAGTGCTCCTCACTCTCAACATTTCAGTTGTCTGGTAGTGGCAGAGGGACTCTATAGTGCTGAGCAAGTTTGCAACCATTCCCTTTTTAAAATCTGCATCAGATGATCTGGAACCTCATTCAGAGAGTTCACTTCTTTTTTATTTGTAACCTTATTCACACTTCATTTTTATCAGTTTATTAGAGTCTAGATTATCGTAACTAAAGTAGGCTTGTGTACCCCTACTCTATTTCACATTCTAGTTTTTCTTCAGAACATTTATCATAACCTGTAGTTATCTTGATTATGTGTACTTGCATGTTATCTGTTTCCTCTTTTAGAATGTGAGTTTTATGAAGGCATGGATCTTGTCTAGTTCACTTTTGTGTTTGCAGTGCCAGAGAGCACCTGGGGTGTGGTAGGAACACCATAATACTTGTTGACTGAATGGATTTTCTGTTTATTTCCTCTTTACACTGCAGGAAATGATGCTAGAGTTTAAATAGTTTGTCCAAAGCCATATAGGCAGTGCACTGGTTAAAATTAGTCTGCAGCCCAGCCTGGCTGCGTACTAAATCTGTGATTATGAAGAACATAGATGAGATGATATAAGACTCTATTTTTTTTAACCTGTCCATATTTTGATATGGGAAGAAACAGAAAAGAAGGGATGCTTTCAGTATTCAGATTAAACCTTGAACTAGGAGAGACTGGAAAGGAGGACTGACCTTAAGTTCTATTTTAGACTCTTAAAAATTAAGACTAAGGATCTTTGGCCCATTTATTTGGCAATAGTAATAAATAACATTGGGTAGAAAAACCCATCCCATACTTTTCCACTGTAAATCTGTACTTTAGCATAATAGTAGTTGGCTTTTCATCTCAGTAGCTATGTCTGGGGGATACAAGAAGCAATCTTTGTGTTTACCCACTTGGTACTACAAATGGAAAGGTAGCATGGTGTGTGCACCTGTGCAAAAATGTCAAACCAGGATTTTTACCTACGTAGTCTTCTGTCAAACAGTTTTTGTATGTATTTACTTGAGCATCATGGGGGTAAAATACACCCACCCCATTCTTCTGTTATGTAAACATATACTTTACCATAGTGGAATGTGGATGTGGATCACAGTAACTGGGCATGGGAACAGAAGGAACCCATCTGTGCAGTCACCCATTTGGCAGATAAATAGCAAGATGTGTATAGGATCTCCAAAGCAGCAACAGGTATGCATTTAGGATTTTTAAAAATTTACTTTTTTTTTTTTTGGTAGAAGTAGCCCAGTTCAGTACAATGGCGCATGAAAAACCAGATTTGCAACTTTTGGAGGAGATCAAAAGTGTATCATCATGTGACGTCTGCTTGGATGATGACACTGGCCAAATGAGCCTAAGTTCCTGTGACAGTGAAATGAAGCAATAATTGACTGACACAGATACAGGAAATGAAGACTCCCCTGATTCAGATGACAAAACAGCAATGTCAGTACATATTTGACTAGTCAAGATGATACAAAATGGTCATGCACCCAAATGGAAGGATACAATGATGGAACTATGTCTGAAAATATCATGAGGATCTTGGCAGGGCTAAAACCTACTGAATGGAATTCCAGCACTGCCATTCAATGTTGGAAATTGTAACAGACAGAATGCCACAAGATGTTGTGAAATACACAAATGATGAAATACAAGTAAAATATTCTGTATGCTCCAATAAGCATACTCAAAAATGTGTTTATTATGATACCTCACTAGCTGAACTGAAAGTATTCATAGTCTGCTGTACTTAGCAGGGCTTTCCCTTGATAATTGCAGGAATGTATAAGATGGGTGTAAGAGACCTAGGGGTGCAAGCTTGAGGTTTGTAGAATAACATGACACTAAGATTTGGTTTATTGCTCCTCAAGAGAGAAAAAACCTTGCAAGTGCAAGGACCCAAGTTCGATCCCTGGTACCAAAAAAAAAAAAAAAAAAAAAAAAAAAAAAAAAAAAAAAAAGAAAAAGAAAGAAAGAAAAAGAACTGATAATCTGGTTGCTATCCACTCCCTGAAAGTTTTGTTTCATAAGGTTAGGAAATTTGTACATCATCTGAATACATGAATATTGATGAACATCTTGCAGCATTTCATGATTACTGTATCTTTAGGCAATATGTTTGAGTGGTGTGGCCATGACAGTTGAACAAAGGGAAGGGAAGAGGATGACTCAGCTCTTTTGTTTCTAACTGTACTAAAACCTTGACAGAACTGAAGCCCAAGACGGTAACTTTTTACAATAAAACCAAAGGCAGAGTAGGTGTTAATGAGTTCTGCAGCAACTATGATGTCACACAAAACACAAAGCATGGACCAATGGTTGTGTTTACTCCATACTAAAAATGTGTGGCACAAATAACTTAACAGTTTACACAGAAAATAACAAGTGCAAAGCATCGTAGAGAAATTTTCTTAGAGGATGGGGACTGCAACTCCTAAGAGATCATTTACAGCAGAGGAGCAACAAGATGTTTCTGTCCTGGGAACTACGCAAAAAAATTGTGGAGCTCACTGGTGAACAGGCAGATGCAACATCACAAAGACCTACTGTGACAACAGGAAAACCAAAAAGATTTCAGCTGTGCCTTACAAAAAAGGATAGGAAAACATATGTGATATCAGTGTAAGCAATATTTGTGCATGGAACATGCAGTTGTCATGTGTGAAGCCTGTCTTGGGTGTGAAAGTTGAAGCAAAGATTATTTCTGTGGCAGACATTTGTTTGTATTTGCATTGTAGTTCACATAGGTTTTTATTTCATATGTTATCTTTTAGGTTTTTTAATCCAGCAAACAGCTGATGTGAAAATGTTGATGTTTATTTTAAGCACTCCTTACATATTTGATATTTTATTTTTACGGGCATCTTATTTCCCTGCTAAGTGCTTGTTGTACTATACGGTAGGAAGCTCTTAACAAAAGAGGAACACAAGTGACAAGAATGGCCAGCCACTCAGGGAAGGAAAGCTAAGCACATGTGCTGTCAGTGTGAGCAAGACAAGTGTATGGAACATACAGTTGTCAAAGGTGAAGACTGCCTTGGATGTGACAATTGAAACAAAAGAATTAGTTTTGCTATAGAGTCCTACTGGTATTTTCATTGTAGTTCATATAGGAATCTATTTCTGTTTTTTTTTTATGCTTTGTACATCAAAAAACAGTCGGTGTTGAAAATTTTGATTTTTTAAAATGCACACAATAAATATCAGAATTCAATATTTTTTTGATTTTTTTCTGTTAAGTACTCATTGTTTAATATAGTAAAACTCATACAATTAAAATTAATTATTCATCAGTAGAAATATTTTAAAGAATAAACGTGGGTATTATACAGGCACAATGCTCTTTTAACACAAAGTTCGCATTATACCCCACAGGTATAATAATTATAGTTAGCATTTATTGAATGCTTGTTATCCATGAAGGAGTGGTTCTAAAACCCCTAAAGGTCTCAAAATCTAAGACTGTTCAAGTACCTTATGTAAAATGGCCCGGTCTTGCATGTGATGTGCATCTTCCCTTTGCATCCTCTTTAAATAACTTATAATACCTATTATAATGTATGCACAATGCTGTGCAAATATTTGTTATGCTGTATTATTTAGAGAAAATTCTACACATGCTCTGTACAGAGGCACTTTTTATTTTCATCCTAAATATTATCAATCTGTGGATGGTTGAACCTGTGGATATAGAACTCAAGATAGAGGACCAACTACTTTCTGTATCAGGCACTATGCCAAGCACTCTACATGAACTAATCTCTTTTATCTTTGTAGCTCTGTGAGGTATATACTATTATACAGGTGAAGACTCTAAAGCACAAAAAGGTAGGACGCTAACTGAAGGCCACACAGCTGAGTAGTGAGCCTGGATTTTAAACTCCTAATATGCTATATAATGCATAGGCCTTGGTGTTTGCCATGGAATTATAGGGTAGGCCTTGACACTTATCTGCTCTATGACTTTGAGCACATTACTTCATTTCCTCAAAACTCAGTGTTATTACATGTGAAAGGAGGATACTAACTCAATGAAATGATTGTTGTAAGAATAATTTAGTAATAGTACACACCTGTAATCCCAACACTTTGAGAGGCTCAGCCTGGGCAACTTAGTAAACTAGTGAGACCATGTCTCAAAATAAAATATAAAGATAGAGCTGGGCATGGTGTCACATGCCTGTCATTCCAGCACTCAGGAGGCTGAGGCAGGAGGATCGCTGTGAGTTCGAGACCAGCCTGGGCTACATAGTGAGTTTCAGGTCAACTATACAGTGAGACCCTGCCTCATAAAAAAAAAAAAAAAAAAA